ATGATACTGTCCCTCCAGTAGCACAAACCCCGTCGTATTCCTTTCCACATGCGGCAAAAGGTCTCAGATGCGCTCGACACGTTAGAAAGTGATGGAATTATTGAAAAAGTATCAGATGCCACTCCTTGGGTCAGTCCATTAGTTGTTATCCCAAAGAAAGATGGTGAGATCAGGCTATGCATTGATATGCGCATGGCTAATCAGGCAATTCAACGCGAAAGACATCCGACCCCAACTGTGGATGATTTAATTCACAAATTAATCGGCGCCACCATATTTACAAAGCTTGATCTTTGCTCGGGATACCACCAGTTATCTCTCGCTGAGGAAAGTCGACACATAACCACATTTGTAACGCACAAAGGACTCTACCGCTATAAGAAGTTGAATTTTGGCACCAATTCGGCAAGTGAAATCTTCCAACATGTAATTAGCGAACAAATCCGTGACATTCCGAATGCCATCAACATTAGTGATGACATAATTATCTTTGGCATAACACAAGCTGAGCATGACAAAGCTCTTCATAGAATTTTTTGAGCGGTTTTCACTCATTGGATTAACCTTCAACAAAGACAAATGTGAGTTGAGTCAATCGCAGCTCACATTTTTTGGTTTTGTCTTCTCAGGTGATGGCATTTCACCGGATCCAGCAAAGGTTTCAGCAATTCACAACTGCCCATCTCCAAATTCAATTAAAGCTGTTCGGAGTTTCCTTGGGATGGTGACATATTGTGCTAAATTTATCCCTAACTTCAGTGATCTCACAAAGCCTTTGCGAGAATTAACGAGAAAAAATGTGCCTTTTTGCTGGACATCTAGGCATGCTAAATCCTTCAACGCAGTAAAAGCTGCCCTCACAAGTGCAACAGTTATGGCATATTTTGATCAAACCAAGGAAACAGAACTTATCACTGATGCATCACCTTTTGGTCTCGCAGCTATTCTCACACAGAAAGTCCCAGGATCAGACCAACGAAATGTTGTTGCATATATCAGTCGTTCGCTGTCGGATGTTGAGAGACGATACTGTCAAACAGAGCGAGAAGCTCTTGCAATTGTGTGGGCAATTGAACGCGTTTACATATCTATCTATACGGAGGACATTTTACTCTGATAACTGATTGCAAACCAGTCGAGTTGATTTTAAATAATCCACAATCAAGACCTCCAGCCAGAATTGAGAGATGGAATTTACGCTTGCAAGATTATGACTTTAATGTAAGGTATACAAAGGGACTTAACAATCCATCAGATTTCCTATCTCGACATTTACCTGTTAACAACACCACTGATGACAGACAGTTCCAAACAATGGCTGACAATTATGTTTGTTTCCTTACCCAACATGCTGTGCCAAGAGCAATGACTCTGCCTGAAATACAACAAGCCACCGTGGCTGATTCAACATTACAGATCCTAAGCAACCTCATCACAACAGGTAAATGGCATTTAATAGACTCTCTATAGACGTACAATCCAATCCCAATGTAAAGGTTTTGGACTTGAAAGCATGTGAGAAAATTAAAACAGAACTTACACTAAACGAGCATGATGGAATTATATTACGAGGCTCGCGAATTGTGCTTCCAGAAAGCCTTAGACTAAGGCTGTTCAAATTGCTCATGAAGGCCACCAAGGGCTAGTAAAAACTAAACAGTTGTTGCGAGAAAAGGTTTGATATCCAGGTATAGACAAGCTTGCTAAGCACACAGTGGATACTTGTTTGTTATGTCAGGCAAATGGACCAAACAGTCACCAAGAACCACTGCGAATGACGATGCTGCCTCCCCAACCCTGGCATACAGTGAACATTGATTTTTGTGGACCATTTCTAGGTGGTTCATATCTGTTAGTGATTATTGATGCATATTCACGATTTCCAGAGGTGGAATTTTTGCCACACATGGTATTCCAAAGGTGTTAAAGAGCGATAACGGTCCACCATTCCAGAGCCATGAATTTAGTCTGTACTTGAAAGAACTCGGCATTAAACATAAACCAAGCTCACCATTATGGCCCCAAGGAAATGGACAAGCCGAGAACTTTATGAAACCACTTGTAAAGGCTGTAAAATCTGCCCATCATGAAAACAAAGATTGGAAACGTGAAATGTTTAAATTTTTGCTCAACTACAGAGCTACCCCACATTCCACCACTGGCAAGTCACCGTCCGGGTTGCTATACAACCGTAAGATTAAAACAAAATTACCTCAAGTGACAGTCGAAAATGATTCTTCACTTCATCAAGAGGTGAAGGAGAGAGATGAAAGGTTGAAAAAGAACCAAAAAGAATATGCTGATTCCAAAAGAAGAGTTAAGTGTGCTGACATCAAGAAAAGTGATTTAGGTTTGGTGCGGCAACCGAAATCAAATAAAATGTCCACAAAATACGATCCAATACCATATGAAGTCACAAATCGCCGTGGGAACAGGATCACAGCAATTAGGAATGGGAAATATATAACTCGGAACATTTCGTTCTTTAAAAAGTATCACCCCAGACATGGCAGATCGTTGGAGTCAACAGAGATAATGGATGAAGAAAATTATTCCTCAAATGAAGATGTCCACGAAGAGCATGAACAGTATGATGGACTGAGACAGAATGATCGTCCGCGGCAGCACAATGGTCAGAGACAAGATGATGGTCCGAGATATCCGGCAAGAGAAAGACAGCGGGTGTACAGATATGGAAATAACATTTATGATTGACCTGGACTAAACAGATAAGATACAGTTTAAACATTATATGCATATTTTGTTATAGTTAGTACTAGAGTTCATATTTAAATCAAGGGAGGGATGCAATGTTGACATTATTGACACTAGCACACGTGACTAGAAAGTTAGTTAAGTATTTTTTAGAAGCACGAGGCTAGGGAACCGGGAAATAATTGGATACGTACTATGCTGTTTGTACAAGTTTTTTGATATCTATTGTTATACTTAAAAGTGCTTGATATTGATACAAAACCACGAACATTACACCTTCCAGTCATTCACTGTTCTGACTTATTTTAACATTCTCGGAATGGGCCAATCTATATATAGTTTCGCTATTACAGTACGACTTCAATAACTATATATATATAAACTTCATGGACACTTGGTCTGGATGACAACTTGGCCTGAAACGTGCCGATACTCAGTAGCGAGAATATAATGAACTCCAGTTTCTTTCATTATAAAGAAAATCTTTACTATGTTTTTACAAGTAGAAAAAGTCTATTAAGATACGTATGCGACTACTTACCTGTTCATTGCAGCGATAAGAACAACCCCTTGAGCACATATTTCGCCTACAAGGACATCCGCACCGACAAAATCTGGTACAGTATTTTTTGTTCTTTATGTATTTCTTACAGGTTTTGCAGGGACGGCCTTAACGAAAAAAGAGAAATACAGTTATGGGATTCAGAACTATCTGCGGAGACAAACATAAACAGTCTATGTATAAATACTATACGCCATTAGGTAAGCCTCACATATCGATTTCGTCCATGAGAAACGTCATATGTGTGTTGGTATGATTTCAGACGTTATTAGAACTTTCGATACGATAACAGACTTACATAAAGTACTGACTGAGATAAGAGGCGAGCCCGCGGTAAATAGGACGACAACGTGTAAACAACGTTTTGGTTTTTGGTTTTAATACACCACAGTGTTTTACCGCTCAAAAGGCTCAATAATTCGACGATATTTGTAAAGAAATAAAAGTTTATACATTGTTTAAGTACATTATCGTTTTCTTTGAGTAATTATGTTTGCATGCGCGTTGAAATACGTGGGTATATAGCGATATCAATACAGTAAAACACTAGTGATCGAAGAAATCAATAAGGACGGTGACGTTCGTGAGCTATAAAGAAGCCGACTTTAAAGGAGTTTTGCCTGCCAAATACTCGAAGTTGCTTGACGTAGTTATCATTGGGTCATTGGTCGATGTTATGAACTAAAATATGAGTGTCCAAAACAAGAACAAGAGAGAAGTAAGGCCAAAACGGCGGTTAGTTTGGCCTCGAGGCGACTTATCGGTGCAGCCCACCGAGGAACAGAATATGATGTGTTGAAGAGTTTAATAATCGAACTCGAAAAGGCGTACGATGATTTCTGTGTAGCAAATGAAGAGTTTGAACTTCTCGTGGCAGAGGAAGAGAACAGTGAACATCGTGTTGTGAACGGAGAGGATGTTAGTGAGTATAGAGACAATGTTAAACAGTGTTATAATGAGACTAGGGAAGTATTCTTGGAACGAAAGGCTGCTGAGCAAGAAATAAGCAAAAACTTAGCAATAGAACCAGCGAGAGTTGCAGTGGCGTAACTACTATGGGCTCAGACCGGGTGAACCCGGGGGCCCCCAACCCAAATGGGGGCCCCCAGGCTTACGCGATAGGGCAAATACATTGGCCAGGGCCGCTGATATCTTACAATGTCGTTTTATGACCATCAGAATTCTGTAAAATCTCTCCCCAAAGTCCAGGAAATGGCATTTCAGAGAGTCTAGATTCAAAAATTTTCCGGATGACCATGCCCTGGACCCCCTAGAAAACTTGTGCATATACGGCGCTCGACATGTGCCTTTGGCACCTCTACTAGGGGGGCCTTTGAAAATTTTGAACCGGGGGCCCCCTGATATAACGTTACGCCACTGGAGAGTTGCCTTAAAGCTAGATTCTAGTCGAATAAGTGAGTTAATCGAAACAGTTGATATAAACATTAACTCTACCAGTCCAAATAAACGAGCATTGCAATTAGACAAAGAAGAATTGCAGGCAATGTTAAATGTGTTGTGTGGGAAAATCTCTGAATTGAGTTTGATTGGGTCTTCAAAATCGGAGGAAGATATTCAGTTACATCTTGAGATTGATAAGATTATTGCACAGGGTTTTAAACAGGTTAGATCAATAAACCTGTATTTATGTGATTGTCAAAGTTCAATCGAGAAAACTCCATCACCCCCTATTGTAAATCAAGTAGATACTGTGGGTGCATCTGCTGCACTTCTTAACATAGACCCCCAAAATAGTGCAACCTCTAGTAGCCCACCTGTGACCAATCCCAGTACTCAAATTGACCACACCCCTACCAGCCCCTCCAAGGAAGGGGCAGTGAGTGACATCCCCCCACCTGCAGTTACAGAGACAGATACTACCATCAATGTGTCTGCACCTGAATTTGTACCTTCAACAATGAATGATCCAGTGAGTAGTTCTGTAATCAGTGCCTATTCCACCTATACATGTACCAATCCCCAAGCCATACCCCAAAGTGCAAGTACATCACAGCAAACCTTTCCTATTTTATATCAATACCCAACCACCAGCACCATACACCACCCCCCTCCACAGATCAATCCATCTACAGTCAACACACCCCACCATTTAAGTACCATCACCGCCCCAATCCACTTGTCGCCACCTGTCAATCCCACTTCAAGTTTTCCACCAAATTCGATTGGCTTACACCAATACCCAAGCAACACCCAACCCCACCTTGGTACAAGTATGACCCAAGCAACATTACAGCAAACTTTCAGTAACACCAATCCATACCACAACACCCCCCTACCACCACACCATAGTATGACAAGTCTCTACAACAATGTACCTCCACAGAATTTGGTAAGTTCACCAGAGACAAGTATGTATTTGAACAGTGTGTCCCCAAGCACTCCAACTACTAGCCCATCAACATGGAACCCACTGCAAGTACCAGTGACTTATTCTACTCCCAATGCGAGCGAGACATATTTGGTCAATCCCAGCACAGTCCCAATCCCCTCAGTCGGTCCACAACCTACACCTCACCACAGCCCTAATTCACTGGGCTTCAATTCTCGGGTCCAGGTAAAGAAAATGGCTTTGCCAACATTCAGTGGTAACCGCAAAGAGTGGCCAGAGTTCAAAGCGATTTGGAAATCAGTCGCTGAGACAGCATA